TGCTTTGGCTATTCGGGGTCTTTTGTGTTTCCATACAAATTGTGAAATTTTTTGTTCTAGTTCTGTGAAAAATGCCAGTGGTAGTTTGATAGGGATTGCATTGTATCTGTAGATTGCTTTGGGTAGTAGAGTAATTTTCACAATGTTGATTCTTCTGATCCAAAAACATGGTATATCTTTCCATGTATTTGTATCATCTTTAATTTCTTTCATCAGTGTCTTATAGTTTTCTGCATACAGGTCTTTTGTCTCCTTAGGTAGGTTTATTCTTAGATATTTTATTCTTTTTGTTGCAAAGGTAAATGGGAGTGTTTTCTTGATTTCACTTTCAGATTTTTCATCATTAGTGTATACGAATGCCAGAGATTTCTGTGCATTAATTTTGTATCCTGCTACTTTACCAAATTCATTGATTAGCTCTAGTAGTTTTCTGGCAGAGTGTTTAGGATTCTGTATGTATAGTATCATGTCATCTGCAAAAAGTGACAGCTTTACTTCTTCTTTTCTGACTTGGATTCCTTTTATTTCCTTTTCTTCTCTGATTGCTGTGGCTAAAACTTCCACAACTATGTTGAATAAGAGTGGTGAGAGGGGGCAACCTTGTCTTGTTTCTGATCTTAGTGGAAATGCTTTCAGTGTTTCACCATTGAGGACGATGTTGGCTGTGGGTTTGTCATATATGGCCTTTATTATGTTGAGGAAAGTTCCCTCTATGCCTACTTTCTGCAGGGTTTTTTTCTTTTTTTTTTTATCATAAATGGGTGTTGAATTTTGTTAAAAGGTTTCTCTGCATCTATTGAGATGATCATATGGTTTTTCTCCTTCAATTAGTTAATATGGTTTATCACATTGATTGATTTGCGTATATTGAAGAATCCTTGCATTCCTGGAATAAACCCCACTTGATCATGGTGTATGATCTCTTTAATGTGCTGTTGGATTCTGTTTGCTAGTATTTTGTTGAGGATTTTTTCATCTATGTTCATCAGTGATTTTGGTCTGTAGTTTTCTTTCTTTGTGACATCCCTGTCTGGTTTTGGTATCAAGGTGATGGTGGCCTCATAGAATGAGTTTGGGAGTGTTCCTACCTCTGCTATATTTTGGAAGAGTTTGAGAAGGATAGGCATTAGCTCTTCTCTAAATGTTTGATAGAATTCGCCTGTGAAGCCATCTGGTCCTGGGCTCTTGTTTGTTGGAAGATATTTAAGCACAGTTTCAATTTCAGTGCTGTTCATATTTTCTATTTCTTCCTGATTCAGTCTTGGCAGGCTGTGCATTTCTAAGAATTTGTCCATTTCTTCCAGGTTGTCCATTTTATTGGCATAGAGTTGCTTGTAGTAATCTCTCATGATCTTTTGTATTTCTGCAGTGTCAGTTGTTACTTCTCCTTTTTCATTTCTAATTCTTTTGAGTCTTCTCCCTTTTTTTCTTGATGTGTCTGGCTAATGGTTTATCAATTTTGTTTATGTTCTCAAAGAACCAGCTTTTAGTTTTATTGATCTTTGCCATGTTTCCTTCATTTCTTTTTCATTTATTTCTGATCTGATTTTTATGATTTCTTTCCTTCTGCTAGCTTTGGGGTTTTTTTGTTCTTCTTTCTCTAATTGCTTGAGGTGCAAGGTTAGTTTGTTTATTCGAGATGTTTCCTGCTTCTTAAGGTGGGCTTGTATTGCTATAAACTTCCCCCTTAGAACTGCTTTTGCTGCATTCCATAGGTTTTGGGTCATAGTGTCTCCACTGTCATTTGTTTTTAGGTATTTTTTTATTTCCACTTTGATTTCTTCAGTGATCACTTCATTATTAAGTAGTGTATTGTTTAGCCTCCATGTGTTTGTATTTTTTACAGATCTTTTCCTGTAATTGATATCTAGTCTCATGGCATTGTGGTCGGAAGAGATACTTGATACAATTTCAATTTTCTTAAATTTACCAAGGCTTGATTTGTGACCCAAGATATGATCTATCCTGGAGAATGTTCCATGAGCACTTGAGAAAAATGTGTATTCTGTTGTTTTTGGATGGAGTGTCCTATAAATATAAACTAAGTCCATCTTGTTTAATGTATCATTTAAAGCTTGTGTTTCCTTATTTATTTTTATTTTGGATGATCTGTCCATGGGTGAAAGTGGGGTGTTAAAGTCCCCTACTATGAATGTGTTACTGTCGATTTCCCCTTTTATGGCTGTTAGTATTTGCCTTATGTATTGAGATGCTCCTATGCTGGGTGCATAAATATTTACAGTTGTTATATCTTCTTCTTGGATCAATCCCTCGATCATTATGTAGTGTCCTTCTTTCTCTCTTCTAATAGTCTTTATTTTAAAGCCTATTTTGTCTGATATGAGAGTTGCTACTCCAGCTTTCTTTTGGTTTCCATTTGCATGAAATATCTTTTTCCATCCCCTTACTTTAAGTCTGTATGTGTCTCTAGTTCTGAAGTGGGTCTCTTGTAGACAGCAAATATATGGGTCTTGTTTTTGTAACCATTCAGCCAATCTGTGTCTTTTGGTGGGAGCATTTAGTCCATTTACATTTAAGGTAATTATCGATATGTATGTTCCTATTCCCATTTTCTTAATTGTTTTGGGTTCATTATTGTAGGTCTTTTCCTTCTCTTGTGTTTCTTGCCTAGAGAAGTTCCTTTAGCATTTGTTGTAAAGGTGGTTTGGTGTTGCTGTACTCTCTCAGCTTTTGCTTGTCTGTAAAGATTTTAATTTCTCCATCAAATCTGAATGATATCCTTGCTGTGTAGAGTAATCTTGGTTGCAGGTTTTTCTCCTTCATCACTTTAAATACGTCATGCTACTCCCTTCTGGCTTGCAGACTTTCTGCTGAAAGATCAGCTGTTAACCTTATGGGGATTCCCTTCTGTGTTATTTGTTGTTTTTCCCTTGCTGCTTTTAATATGTTTTCTTTGTATTTAATTTTTGACAGTTTGATTAATATATGTCTTGGCATATTTCTCCTTGGATTTATCCTGTTTGGTACTCTCTGAGCTTCCTGGACTTGGTTAACTATTTCCTTTCCCATATTAGGGAAGTTTTCAACTATAATCTCTTCAAATATTTTCTCAGTCCCTTTCTTTTTCTCTTCTTCTTCTGGAACCCCTATAATTCGAATGTTGGTGTGTTTAATGTTGTTCCAGAGGTCTCTGAGACTGTCCTCAGTTCCTTTCATTCTTTTTTCTTTATTCTGCTCTGCAGTAGTTATTTCCACTATTTTATCTTCCAGGTCACTTATCTGTTCTTCTGCCTCAGTTATTCTGCTATTGATCTCATCTAGAGTATTTTTAATTTCATCTATTGTGGTGTTCATTGTTGTTTGTTTCATCATTAGTTCTTCTAGGTCCTTGTTAAATGTTTCTTGCATTTTGTCTATTCTATTTCCAAGATTGTAGATCATCTTTACTATCATTATTCTGAATTCTATTTCAGGTAGACTGCCCATTTCCTCTTCATTTGTTAGGTCTGGTGGGTTTTTATCTTGTTCCTTCATCTGCTGTGTGTTTTTCTGTTTTCTCATTTTGCTTATCTTACTGTGTTTGGGGTCTCATTTTTGAAGGCTGCATGTTCATAGTTCCCATTGTTTTTGGTGTCTGTCCCCAGTGGCTAAGGTTGGGTCAGTGGGTTGTGTAGGATTCCTGGTGGAGGGGACTAGTGCCTGTGTTCTGGTGGATGAGGCTGGATCTTGTCTTTCTGGTGGGCAGGTCCACGTCTGGTGGTGTGTTTTGGGGTGTCTGTGGACTTATTATGATTTTAGGCAGCCTCTCTGGGTGGGGTTGTGTTCCTGTCTTGCTAGTTGTTTGGCATAGGATGTCCAACACTGTAGCTTGCTGGTCGTTGAGTGAAGCTGGGTGCTGGTGTTGAGATGGAGATCTCTGGGAGATTTTCACCATTTGATATTATGTGGAGCTGGGAGGTCTCTTGTGGACCAGTGCCCTGAAGTTGGCTCTCCCACCTCAGAGGCACAGCACTGACTCCTGGCTGCAGCAACAAGAGCCTTTCATCCACACGACTCAGAATAAAAGGGAGAAAAAGTAGAAAGAAAGAATTAGTAGAAGTAGAAAGAAAGAAAGAAAGGAGGGAGGGAGGGAGGGATGAAGTAAGGAAGGAAGGAAGGAGAGACGGAAGGAAAAAAAGAAGGAAGATAAAGTAAAATAAAATAAGATAAAACAAAATAAAGTTATTAAAATAAAAAATAATTATTAAGAAGAAAAAAAGAAAAAAATGGACGGATAGAACCCTAGGACAAATGGTGGAAGCAAAGCTATACAGACAAAATCTCACACAGAAGCATACACATACATACTCAGAAAAAGAGGAAAAGGGGGAAAAAAATCATAAATCTTGCTCTCAAAGTCCATCTCCTCAATTTGGGATGATTCGTTGTCTATTCAGGCATTCCACAGATGCAGGGTACATCAAGTTGATTGTGCAGCTTTAATCTGCTGCTTCTGAGACTGCTGGGAGAGATTTCCCTTTCTCTTCTTTGTTCTCACAGCTCCCAGGGGCTCAGCTTTGGATTTGGCTCCGCCTCTGCGTGTAGGTGGCGGGAGGGCGTCTGTTCTTCGCTCAGACAGGGCGGGGTTAAAGAAGCAGCTGATTCGGTGGCGCAGGCTCACTCAGGCCGGGGGGGAGGGAGGGGCACGGAGTGCGGGGCGAGCGAGCGGCGGCAGAAGCCGGCGTGACGTTGCACCAGCCTGAGGCGCGCCGTGCGTTCTCCTGGGGAAGTTGTCCCTGGATTCTGGGACCCTGGCAGTGGTGGGCTGCACAGGCTCCCGGGAGGGGAGGGGTGGATAGTGACCTGTGCTCGCACACAGGCTTCTTGGTGGCGGCAGCAGCAGCCTTAGCGTCTCATGCCCGTCTCTGGAGTCCGCGCTTTTAGCCATGGCTCGCGCCCGTCTCTGGAGCTCCTTTAAGCAGCGCTCTTAATCCCCTCTCCTCGCGCACCCGGAAACAAAGAGAGAAGAAAAAGTCTCTTGCCTCTTCGGCAGGTGCAGACTTTTCCCGGACTCCCTCCCAGCTAGCCATGGCGCACTAACCCCCTGCAGGCTGTGTTCACGCCGCCAACACCAGTCCTCTCCCTGCGCTCCGACCGAACCCCAAGCCTCAGCTGCCAGCCTTCCCGACACGGCGAGTGAGCCAACAAGCCTCTCAGGCTGGTGAGTGCCGGTTGGCCCTGATCCTCTGTGCGGGAATCTCTTTGCTTTGCCCTCTGCACGCCTGTTGCTGTGCTCTCCTTCGCGGCACCGAAGCTTCCCCCTCCGCCACCCGCAGTCTCCGCCCGCGAAGGGGCTTCCTAGTGTGTGGCAACCTTTCCTCCTTCACAGCTCCCTCCCACTGGTGCAGGTCCCGTCCCTATCCTTTTGTCTCTGTTTATTCTTTTTTCGTTTGCCCTACCCAGGTACGTGGGGGGTTTCTTGTCTTTTGGGAGGTCTGAGGTCTTCTGCCAGTGTTCAGTAGGTGTTCTGTAGGAGTTGTTCCACGTGTAGATGTATTTCTGGTGTATCTGTGGGGAGGAACGTGATCTCCGCGTCTTACTCTTCCGCCATCTTCCCGGAAACCCTCGGAACTCAATTTTAAGGGGACTCAGTTTTAATCCCCACTTCGGTTTTATCTTTCCCCAAATCTTTTAGGGAATGGGGCAATGTTTTATCTTTCCCCAAATCTTTCGGGGATTGGGGCAATGGCTGCTCTACTTCCTGCTGAGATGGGGCATGGTCCTGCCTAAGTTTGGGGGAGTAGTTACCGAATTAGAAATATTTGAGTTCCAAGTCCTGGATCCGAGTCTTATACGATTAAGATTTCAGCCCCTTAGGAATAAGCCTGAAACCTGATCTGGACCTGGCACTTTGGAGAGACTTGTTGTAGCTAGTTTTTTTCAAGCCATTCCCTATAAGGGGGAAACCCATCAAGGCAATCCTGAAGACCCGCAAATAGGATGCGGACCACATATCTAGCAGTTAGAATTATCGAAAGAATCAGCATATCAATCTATAGTTTTGTAGGTTAAAGGTATGAGAAAGGATGAGAAAACAGAAATTTCATTCCGCTTGTTGCAACAAAGACTTAAAGTTTCCCAAAGGGTGAGATGTTTGTTCCCGGGAGTCTGCTTGCTCGCTGTAGACAAGCTTGGCTGGTTTGTCTCACCATGGCACTTCTGATCTAAGCTAGAAAAGAACAAAAATCCTTCCTCCCCTTGGGAAGATGGAGCTGGGATGAAAATCAGGTAATATGACCCCTAAATTTCTTCCCCAATTTGTATGCCCTTCATTTGTGTGCCCCTCATAACTGGCTTGCTAAAGAAACCCAGGGCAGCAGCTACTCACCTGTCTGCCCGCTCTCCCTCTGAGAGTGTATTCTTGTTTAAATAAATCTTCATTTTACTTTCTTAACCTCCCTGTCTCATTTCCAAATTTTTTCCACGATGAGGCAAGAACCTTAAGTTCACCAGGAACATGATAAGCAGGAACCCAGCAACATGGCAACAACTAATTTGCAGGAGAAGCTGGTAAACGAAGCCTTGAGCTGGCAGCCATGTGTCTATCTAAAACCTGGGGTGGGGTTCTCTTGCTAAAAGAGAAAAGGGGATCATTAGTATTATAGGAGAGCAGTTAGTGTTAGTGATAAGTTGTGTGCCAAGTTCATTGGGAACCCCCTGAAAACATATCTATCTTGTGGATCAGAGTTGGAATTCAAGTAGGTTGCCTTGGATCAAAGTTACAAGACTCTGTGGGCTCCACTTTGCTTAGTCCCAGGAATCAGTGGTAGCAAAGCGTACTTGTCTTGCCCTATCTCTTCCACTTTTTGCACATTAATCATGAAGACTGAGTGCAATGCCTTGTGTCTAAAGGTGCCACCCTCTGATATGCATCCGTTTCTGCTCCCAGAGGTTTCATCCCTCTGCCAGTCTCATAGCAAGATTCCTTCCCCTTGACTCTCTACTTCTTGTGCTCTTTTCCCTTCCAGAAAACTCTTTTTTGCTTTATTTAACAAGTGTTACCTTCATGTACCTTTTTGGGATTAAGGGCATGCTCCTTTTAATTTCTTAATCTGACACTCCAATAAACACAAAGTATGGGGGTGGGGTGTAGCTTATTCTCAGGAGGGTAAAGAGCAAGAGGCTTACTTTGGCAGTAACTGCCCTCTGTTATTCCGTTCCTCCTCTGCATCATTCACCTGGGCAAGGGCTTGCAAATGTAAGTGATGAGTCTCTAACACTGCTCACTGAATCATCCTTGGACTCTAATTCTAAGGATCCCACCCCCTCACTCTTTAAAAGCCAATGAGTACTGTTTCTAACTGTATCTATCTGGGAAGTCACAGAGAGAGCAGCGGAGCTTTGTAGTTTTCTTGCAATGAGGCACATGAGTGATGTAGAGAAGTAACTAAAGGTCAATATAGCTGGCTGCTATAGTGGAGGTTCATCCAACAAATTTTGTATACCTCCAATGTGGCAGGCATCATCTCTCCTGCTAGTAAAGGAGATACAATGTTAGGTAAATATATATCAGTCCATGTTCTCATGGAGCTTACAGTCTAGATGCTGTGCCTAAAGGAACGTGAGTTCCCAGATCTATGATTAGTCTTTATATGTTTTAGATGTTTCCTCCTTATGCACTGTAGGCCGTATATATGTCACTGTTACTCACGCCCTGAGACAGTCCCTGTTGTCTCTTAGCTTCTCATAGCTGGAAGTCCATTATGGACTGGCCATTTTGCTCACCAGTCCCAAGTATGCTGTAATGTTGCACATTATACTGTCATTATTTTCTGGTGGGGATTTTATTCCCATGATGCTGCAGAAATATATATGTGTCATCACCAAAACATTCCACTTTGTTTTAAAGCTAGTTAGGGTCAGGTCGTCAGCCATGAACTAAAAAATCACCCTCAAAACTCTTACATTCTATTCTGGGTTTTGTTTCTAATAGCTAAAGGACTTTCAGGAAATCATTTAGCCTTTCTGAACTTCACTTTTTTAGCATTAAAATGGAGACCAACAATTTGTATTTATCTTCCTCAAAATTGTAGGGCAATACCAGTGAGATAATGAGTGTCAGAATGATTTGTGAAGTGTTTTTATTATTATATCTTATATTCTTTAAGAAGTTTCTCTCTCTTTGTTTAGTATTTACTCCCTGTATCAATTGACATTCTCTACACCCTAAAATTACTCTATCTTATAACTTTTAACTTAATAACTTCTACAAATTCAAATAATGCCATGCTCCAGAACAACTGTATCAACTCACTCTGTCACACATACACATGCACAATGGTTATTGATCGTATATACTTTTAAGCTCTTACCTACCTTTGTTTTATTATTTCGCTGTCCTTTTGTTTTGTACATATCAAATAAGTGCAGAAAAAAGTAGTGAGAGTGATAGGATTGCTAGTAAGATAAAGGTATTATTTCAGTGGCTATTAGAGATAAAAATTGAAGGTGATAAGAAAATGCTGTGTATTGCACATATAAATAGAACGAAATATTTGATTCTTGAGAATAAAGATAAAATCATGTATGCAAAAAAAAAATCAACTCTACATAACTTAGAAAGAGACATGATTGCACGACTAACTGGAGACTAAGAGGTGAGACTTAGAAATAGGACAAGATCCAGGACTGGATTAAATATATCTCCAGGCATCTAGGCTGCAGGTCCCATTCCACTATCCCATCTGCTGCTGCTGCTGGAAAGAAGGGACTCTACCTGCTTTCCCTCTAGTCTTTTACTGTTCCAAAACTTGAGGGGAGAGATTCCTGCTGGCTTGGCTTAAGTCATGTGCTTGTTCCTCTGCTAGGAAATTCAGCTGCCTTGATTTACTATCCTATCATGATGTCACCCAGAGGGGAAGATTTAATTTCCCAAAAGAAAATCAGGGTACTATTAACATATAAGTGACAATGGATGCTAAATGGTCAAATGGTGTACATATACATGTATACACACACACACACACACACACACACATACACAAATGCATATACCTATGTAAACATGACTAGTACATGAAAAAGATATGTATATGCACACAGATATACACATATATCTATACACACATATTACTATACACACACATTACATCATACAACATGTGACAAATGTTTAGAGGCGGCGAGAATCAACAGGGCTGGGGAAGAGTGATGGATAAAATTAAAAAAAAAAGGAAGCAAGGCTTCCCTGGTGGCGCAGTGGTTGAGAGTCCACCTGCTGATGCAGGGGACACGGGTTCATGCCCCGGTCCGGGAAGGTCCCACATGCCGCGGAGCGGCTGGGCCCGTGAGCCATGGCCGCTGAGCCTACGCGTCCGGAGCCTGTGCTCTGTAACAGGAGAGGCCACAACAGTGAGAGGACTGCGTACCGCAAAAAAAAAAAAAAAGGAAACAGGTGGTTGTAAATAGAGGATTGGCATCAACGTTTAATGCCAATTTTACCCTAACGTTGGTCCAGAAGAGGTTAGAACACTGAAAGTTTGTCAAAGTAAAATACAAAATGAAGACCAAATTTGAAAATTCCCTGAGCAGACAATACCATTGAAGCCACATAAACACTAAATCTAGCTTCTTTCACGAATATAAGTGAAGCTTAACTTAGATTGCTTCTTGTAACTGCCTCTGATAACCATACAAGAAATTTAAGTCATCTTCCTAAAATGCTATAAAATAATCACTATTATCAATCCCCTGCCATCTGGAAACTTCCATTATAATAACCAATCATAGGAAAGGTTGAACAGCTTCCTAATTTTCATTTTATACGTCACCCTGAGGAGTCGTGTCTCTGAGCTTCCTAACAGTTTTGAGTTTGAAAGCTCCCAGTCTGTGAACTGTTCTTATGTGCATAATAAACCCTTACTAAATACTGCTTCATTGGTCTGGCTTTAATTTTTCCCTTTCTGGATTTTTGACAAAGTTAAGCCCGATGGAATGGTTTCGGATGAAACTTGTTACAAGCCACTGACGTTGACCAGATACGAAAGCCCTTTTGACCCTCTGTGATTAATGAAAATGTACAGGTGAGAAGTGTGTACACTGCAACGATGAGGAATTTTATTCATTGTTGTTCAATAACCACTTACTGAGCACTTATTGTGGGTCAGGCTCTGTTCTAGGCACTGGAGATACAGTGGGGAAGAAGACAAGGCCCCAGCTCTA